TAGGAGAAATTTATTTTGCTTGACTATGTATGTTTATAACAAGAGTTTTGTTTTGTTTTTCAATATTGAGAGGAATAGGTAGAAAGGGGAGAAAATTAGTTTATTTGAAAAAATATAAATTGCCTCACCAAAAAGCTAAATAAATAAATAAAATAACAAGAAGCAGAGACACTGCTAGATAAGTAACTAATACATGGTCTCCAATATGTCTTTTCTTTGAACTCCACTTCCTGGTTCTCTGAGATACAGTACTAGTCACTTTGTAAAGCAGAATTCTGCACATGCTTGTATGAGCATATATGGAAAGGAACTCTTTTATTTCTGTCTTCATTTCCCCATCATTTAGAATAATGTTTGGCATATTAGTCGATGCTTAATAAATGTTTATTGATTCATTCATCCAAAGCCAGGGGAGTCAGCATGGACTCAAGCACAATATACTCTTAAGGGAAGCAGCAAGCAGCAATGATATGATGGCTTATCTTGTGCAATTTGGACCCATCTCATGTCTCCCAACCTTTGCACTGGTCTAGAATGTTGTCCCTGCTTATCTCTAGCTGTTAGAGGCCTCATCTTTTTTTTTTGAGGGTCATAAGTCGGTATTTATTATTTAAGTTGAGGAACAGGTTATGAATGGGGTGAGGGGGGAGGCCTAGGAGAGAGGGAAGAAGGGAGGAGGCAGGGAGACGAGAGCCTCTCCTTTGTGTCTGCTCTCGACGGGGTTGATCCTGATTTCTGAGCCTTGGTCCAGGGCACACAATGGAGCACATAATAAGATGAGGTTCCAAGGGCTACAGGTTTAGGAAACATCAAGGGGTTGTCAAAGTTGAGGCCTCATCTTTTAACACGCAACTCAGGCTCCCTAACTACTAATGTTCCCCTCCTAAACTACTTCGTAAATGTGTGCATTTATTCACTCTGTATTTATGCTACATATACATATATGGGCAGCTAGGTGGTGCAGTGGATAGAGTTCTGGGCCTAGAGTCAGGAAGACTCTTCTTCGTGAGTTTAAATCCAACCTCAGACACTTATTAGCTGACCTTGGGCAAGTCACTTAACCCTGTTTACCTCAGTTTCCTCATCTATAAAATGAGCTGGAGAAGGAAATGGTGAACTACTACAGTACCTCTGCCAAGAAAACCCCAACTGGGGTCATGACTGAAAATGACTATACCACAAAATATACATATATGTATACATATGTATACATATATATATGCGTATGTATACATATACATATATAATGTGTGTGTATATATGTATATATATATATATGATATATATATATATATATATATATATTATATATATATATATATATATATATATATATATATATATATATATATATATATATATATACTTGTTATCTCTCCCTCTTGTCCCACTCTCCCATTAGAATGTAGTGGGAGTAGGGATTGGTTTTTGCTTTGTATTTGAATTCCTCGGCACGTACGGCAGTGCTTGGAACACATAGAAGGCGCTTAAAATACCTGTTGACTGACAGGTTGCCCAAGAGCTACTTTTTTTTTTTTGGTGCTCAAGGTCACACAGCTAGTAAGTGTCAGGTATCTGAGGCCAGATTTGAACTCAGGTCCTCCTGACTCCAAGGCCAGAGCTTTATCCACTATGCTATCTAGTTGCCCCAAGAGCTACCTTTTAGGGTAAGTGCTAGCTTTGCCCCTTCTTTGCCTCACTGTAGTAGGATTGCTAAGGCCATGATGTTATTATCTCCAGCCTGGAATGCTTCTCTTCCACTCCACCCCCTCTTCTCTTTGCTTGTAGACCTTGTACCTTTCCTTCAGGGCCCCAGTCCTTTTCTGATGACATCAGGTCCCAGCAATCTCTCGCTTCTCTAATTCCTTGCTCCTTTTGTCCACATGCTTTTATTGCTTAAGTACCCCTTAGTGGGCAGGTCTCTTTTCTTCCAGGAAAAAGCCATTTAGATGGGAAAAGATCCTCTAGTGTAGGAGACCTTAAGGACCCTTCCTCCTTCCCATAGAGGTCTTGGGGGGGAAGAGGACAATGAGGGTAGAATTGTTGGGAAGTACCCTGTTTTAATTTTCTAATTACAAGGAAGAGATGAAACTGTCTTATTGACGATTATGAATTGACCTGGAAAAAGGGGGATCCCTTAATTAACTTGGTAGCAATCCTAAATCCTTAGATGAAGGCAAAGGAGAGCCACTCCTGCAGAAGAGGTCGGATAACTTCCTAGCAGAGACTTCTAAGGGGCAGAAATTAGGTGTTATTGCTGGCCTCCCCCAACAAGGTGTTCTCAAGGAGGAGGAAATTTTGGCTGGTGGTGCAAGGAGCACTGAGTAGTACAATGAGAGCTTCTGTATCTCTTCAGACCCTTTGGCAAGTTGCATACTGACCTCTTAGCCATTTCATGATGTGATGCTATACCATTATGAAAAATTAGTGACTTCCAGAAGTGTCCTCATCTTTGCTGTGTCTTTGATGTTCCTGGTGCATCCTATACTCAGCTGTCAAACTGGTCTTCCTAAAACAGAAGAATATCACCACCACCTCCTATTCAATAAACTCCAGTGGCTTCCTTTTACTTCCAGGATCAAATATAAAACCCTCTGTTTGGATTTCAAAACCTTTCGTAATTGATCCCTTTCTTACCTTTCAATTTTCTTACACCTTATCCCCATCCACATGTGCTGTGACCCAATAGCTCTGGCCTCCTTGCTGTTCCTCACTCCATCTCTGGACACTGAGTGTTTTCACTAACTCTCCCCCATGCCTGGAACTCTCTCCCTGTTCATCTCCACTTCCTGGCTTTCCTGGCTTCCTTCAGATTTCAGCTGAAGTCTCATCCTAGGCAAGAACCTTCTCCCCATCCTCCTTAACCACAATGCCTTCCCCCGAATTTATTCCAAATTTATCCTGTATATATTTTGCTTGTATATGTAGTTGTTTGCATGTTGTCTCCCCCAATAAGACTATGAACTGTTAAGAAAAGAGACTTTTTATTTGGAGTTTGTCTTTTTTTTTTTTTTACCTTTTTTACCTTTTATCATCAGCATTTAGCACCATGCCTGGTATGTAGTAGGCACTTTATAAATGCTAACTAACTGACTGGTGCTGCTCCTATTGGTTGTCATAGCCTTCAATCACTGTGAACTACAAAAATTTGGTAACCTACCACCAGACCAATCACTGAGATTTGGTTCTTCCAAAGGGGAGAAGTAAAACGTATGATTTCTGGTCTTTGGTCTTTTCTACATTTGGTTACTACTTCAGAGACTATCACATTTATTTTAATAGGTTGTTTTTAACAGGTCATTTATATGTGTGTGCATATATATATATATATATATATATATATATATATATATATATATATATATATATAAAATGTTTTGCTTTTGCTATTTTTTAGTTCAGGTTTTTTCCTCTTATTTTTTCCTCCAGTGTTGCCTATGCCAGGCTCCTCACATCTCTGAGATTAGGGCTGTGTGGTAACCTCTGTAAAGCCATTTATATACTAGAAGATATTTCATTAGACTGTTAAGACTCTGCCATCAAAAGGTGGGGTTTAATAGGATCAATATCTATCAAAGCTCTTTCTCTTTTCCACACCCCAGGTAGTTTGGACTTGATTGGCCTGGGCGCTAAAGTTGAAGCCAAATTGCCGTTCTTTAGTTGACCCTAACTTCCTGGTGGCAGTGGCTTCCTATACACCTACGGTCCTAGAATGGCCTGCTCATCCAGATTCAGAGTCTTTCAGACTAGATGGAACATAGTGAGTCACCACCCCCTGCCCTGCCCTGCTGATCACATCCGTTTCTCTAAATGAAGATGAGGGTGGGCTTGGGAAAGCTTCATCTCTCCAAGCTAAGTGTTATATCCCTGTTGACTATCCTTCCTATGCTAGGCTAAATACATGTTTTGTTAACTGTTGAATGGCCTATGAGTGTTTCATTTCAGTATCAGATCAAAATTCTGGGGAACCAGCCTGAGTCACCTGCAGTATTGATGACCTGATTATAGTTCTTCATAATTCAAGGGACCCTAACATAGATGGCTAGATAGAGAGAGAGATGCACAGATAGATAGGTACATAGCAGATCATTGATTAATCACTGCTGGTGAGTCAATTGAGTATCATTATTCCCTATCTTCTCCTACAACTAAATCAATAAAAGGCAACTCCTTTTTTCCCCAAGCAAGCTTACTTCTAGAAAACTGTGAAGTAGATTTACTCTCCAGTGATACTCTGCCTCTCTCCTTTCACCCTTGTGCCTGTATGTGTCTGGACAGGAAGAAAACAATCTCACACTAAGGTATTCAGTCTCCACAGATTACCTCTCTCAGAAATGCTGAGGAAGATAAGAAAAAAAGGAAATAATTTTGCAAGAACAAGAGAAATTTGGTCTCCATAGACCCTCCCCTGTCCCACCTTACTCCTTCTTCACTCAGCACCCCTAGTCTTAATGGTTTATATGCTGTGCTCAGCTCCTTAGGAGCTTGGCTCAAAGTAAGCAGACCTTGGCATCCTTCACAATTTTGCTCAGTGCCCACCCTGATCCAAAACCCAGAAGCCCCCTCAGAGATGACTACCAAATGTCTTCTTTCACAGAGTTGTTGTATTCCATAGTTCCTTATCTGGGCTCCTTAGTCTCTAATTATCATCTTTCAGCAAAGCTCTCCATCTGGCTGCTTTTAGGAACCCTCAAGAAGATAAGGAATTATGAGATTCGGAGATGGAAAGGATCTTAGAGATCATGTGACCCAATCCTCTGATTTTTCAGATGAGGAAAAAGAGACCTAAAGAGGTCAAAAGATCATAGTGCTAGAACTAAAAGGGACTGCGGCTGTTATCTAATCCAACCCCCTTATTCTACAGATGAGGAAACTAAGACCCAAGGAAGATAAGTGATGCTCCCAACATCATGCAGGTTGGACAATGACAGAGCTGGTATTCAGACTTTAAATCCAGAGACCCTCCCACCACATGAAGCAGCCTCCTTGTCTAGTCTTACCTGAGGTGGGGAGAAGGGCTTGCCAGAGGAGAAGGAGCCACCAATTCATTCAGCTGCTGGGGGAGGACCAGAGCAAGCAAAGCTGGGTCAGTCAAAAGAGCTGACCAGCTTTCAGATAAATAAGCAAAACTGAACCTACCAGGAGATGTCAGTTGTGGGGTAAAAGAAAAAAAAATGGAAATGTCAATTTAAGCGAAAACATTGTGGGTGGCAGGAGAGTGGGGGGAATAGGTTCTCTTAGCAAGTACACAGGCAAGGTAAGATGTGCCTCAGCAAATACCACGGCACGTCAACAGAAAAGACCACAAAGGGAAAACATCTAACAAGGCGGTTAAAGCCAGATGGCCTCGAATTGTCATTAGTCAACTCACCGCTACTTCGGGCTGCATTTATTTATCAGTTCTCATCTAAAGAATCAAAGGTGTTTGACATGCAATGTCTCTGTATGACCCAAGATGGTGAATTCAGCAGCCTTGGGAAATTTTCCATATATTTTCCCCCATCTCATCCAGCTTAAAAAAAAAATGTGTGAAGTTAAGGAAAATTAAGCTTTGAACAATTCATGGGAAAGGTTCTGTGGAATGCTAGCAGGCAAATAAATAAGAAACATGTATGACGGGGAACTGGTGAGGCTTAGAGGGGGAAGGGAAGGGAATAAGCATTTATAGAGAGCCTACTGTGTGCCAGGCACTGTGCTAAGCACCTTTTGCACATACTATTTCATTTGATCCTTACAACAGCCCTGTAAGATAAGTGCTATATCATCATCATTTTACAGTTGAGAAAACTCAGACAAACAGAGGTTGAGCGACTTGCCCAGTGTCACATAGCTAGAATCTGAGGCTACATTTGAACTCAGGTCTTCCTGACCACAGACCCAGTTCTCTCTCCACTGGGCTACCAGATGCCTTCAAGCATGGTGCTATGAATCTTGGGTAACTTTTATTTATATATATATTTTCCCCCCTCTTCACTAGAGGTCCTGATTTTCTAACCTTCTTCCAGACCTCTATGCAGCTCCTATAGGGAGGGAAATCAAGGAAAGGGGAGAGGAAAAAAGGGACAGTGTTTCTAGCATGGTACAGTAGAAAGAGCACAAGACTTAAGAATGAGAAGATATGGGTTAGACTAGAGTACCAGCTTAGCCCCTTGCTTCATCTGGCTTTTCAGCGGCCACACAGGCTAACTTGAACAGAGGGGCTGTCAGACCTATGACTGCATGGGTAACTTGAAGGTGAAGGTCAGAGACTGGGGGACAGTGGTGACCAGTTGCCAGAGCATGGTACCTGCTCCTGGGCTCTGAGCTTCATTTAGCGATATCCTCTTTTCAGTGGATGGGAGCTTCAGTGACCAAAAGGCAGTAGAGACAGAATAGGGTTCTGTGTCCTGGAGGCAGGAACCAGCATCCTGCTGACCTTTTTAAACATTTACCTATCACCATAAGCTGCCATGGCTCTTTCTATTTGAGTCAACCTATAATGGGTATCTGCGTCCTTCCCCTGATTTTGTTATTATTGTGTTTTAGTCACTTTTCAAAAACCCCTTTTGGTATTTACTTGTCAAAGATACTGCAGTGGTTTGCCATTTCCTTCTCCAGCTCATTTTATAGATGAGGAAATTTGAGGCAAACAGGGTTAAGTGACTTGCCCAGGGTCACACAGCTAGTAAGTGTCCGAGGCCAGATTTGAACTGAGGTAGAGTCTTCATGACTCAAGGCACAGCACTCTCATCTGCTGCGCCACCTAGCCACCTGACTTACTGGTGACAGGGGGTCTGTTATAAAACACTAAATTGCTGGGTTGTTTCTGCTATTCCTGTGCTGCATCTGTAAAGCTAAGGCCAGAAGAAATGGACTCCACCCTGAGAGGGAGGTGTTTTTTTTTTTTTGCCCTGAAGTGTGGCAAAAGGAGTGGGAGGAATTTTGGGTTTTTTAAGTTTATCATTCTATTTTCTAATCTAATTAAATAGCTTGCTTAACTATAACCTTGTCTGGGAATTTGTTACTGAGAAGGAAAGGCTGAGTAGGGATTGGAAGGGGCACGGCCAGCAGGTGGGGTGATAGCCTAGCTTTCTCTTTCAAATGTGAACCTAAAGCCTGACTTTCAAGAAGCCATTCCCTGTCCCCCTTCATCTTAGTACTTCCCTGGTTAAATTACTCCTATTTATCCTGTATATATTTTGTTTGTACATAGTTGTTTGCATGTTGTCTCTCCCATTAGTTTGTGACCTCCTTGAGAGAAGAGACTATTTTTTTACCTTTCTTTGTATCTCCAGGGCTTAGCACAGTGCCTAACACATGGTTGGGATTTAATAAATGCTTGTTGATTGACATTGACTGGTATAGAGTTGTTGAAGTCATGATTGACACGTACTCCTTTCTAAGTACTCAGGGTGTAGATGCCCTTTGATTGGGAAACAGATAAACAAATTGTAGTTAATGGAATAGTACTGTGATAAAGGGATAATAATGTGTGAGATGAATAGAAAAGCATGGAAAGATTTACGTGAGCTGATGCAGAGTAAGCAGAATCAAGAAAGCAATATATCCAATAACTACAACAATGTAAAGGAAAAAGAATAAACATACACCAAAAAGTCAAAAACGAACATGACAAAATTATCAAGATCAAGTGTGACTCCTAAGAAGAGATATGAGAAGACAGCTCCCACCTAACTCTTCATGAAGGTGGGAGGTCCACTAGTGTTACACACTGCACATGTTTTTGGGTTTTTTTCAAATATATCAGTCAGTTTACGATTTTTTTTCTTTAAAAAAATACTATTTGTTATGATGGTTCTCTGGGAAGGGAAGAGAGAAGGATTCTGAGGATAACCACGATGATATAAAAAGCAGAAGACACCAATAAAAGCTTATTTTTAAATTTTTAAAGGAAAAATAAGTACCCAGGCCCATAGCAGTGGAGGACAGAGTGCTGAGTGATTGATTCCCAGCCACCTGCCTCAGTGCCCTAACTGTTGATAGTATTCAAGAAAACAACACTTTTATACACTTGTTAGTCATGTGATTGTAGACAAGTTACTTAGCCTCACCAAAACTCAATTTCCTCATTTGTAAAGATAAGGAAAATAATTCTTGGACTACCCACCTCACTGGGTTATTGGGAGACAAGTGCTTTTGTCAAGCCATATTGGAAGGTAGCTATACAATTTGGTAAATGGAAGGAGAATGGTTCCATTTGCATGGGAGTCAAATTAGCAAATCCTTGAATTTTAGAACTAGAGAGTAGCTTAAAAACAATCTAGTCCAATCCCTCATTTTCAAAATAAGGAAACTAATACCCAGAAGTAGTACATCTATAGTAACAGGAAAGGTGAGAGGAGGAGGTTTTAGAGGGAAAGATAATGATTTCCATTTTGAACATACGGTGTTCAGATGTCTACTGGACATCCAGTTTGAGATGTCTGAAAGGCAGCTGCAGATGCTAAATTGGAGGTCAGCAGAGAGTTAGGTGCAGGATAGGTAGATTTGAGAATTATCAGCATAGAGATGGCACCCCAGTTTGATTTAACCCCTTAACACAAATTAGCTTTTATGAAGAGATGTTTACTTCAGATATAGATATCAAAGAGCTGGCATACAAGAATTTCCCCCAGTACATCTACCCAGATACACTTCCTTATATAACACCAGTCTCTGAGAGAGTAGGCTCAACACTTAGCTCATTCCCTAAATAGCATGAGCCCTGCCAAGCTCATGTCTAAGTATGGCACCCCTGTCTGGCGAGTCTTTCAGATGGACCGAGGTTCTGAAGTTCACTTCTGAGGATAGTTCCATGTTCCTCATGATAGCAAAGCTGAGCTGGCTACAAAGCCTGGTCTGAATGCTGACTTCCAGATCCCTGTGCCTCACTCTCCCCACTGGTTCCTTTCACCTAGAATAGAAATTAGCAAAAGAAAGAACCAAAGACTTAGTGAGCCATGATTCTCAGGGCCTTATGGTCTCAGAAGGAGAAGAGACCCTGAGACTCTTCTCTTACAACAGCCTCTCACAAGGAGCCTTTAGTGAAGGAGAAATTGAATGAAGCAGAGACAACAGAAGTTGTCTGTGGCCCTTTTGAAGGTGCCTATAGTTTTGATTACTAGTTAGTCAAAAAAATCTCCATGTGGAGATTCCACCATGTGGTTAGGCTACCAGAACCAGTCCTTCCAAGGTACTTTCCCCATACATAATCATGATTCTCCTAGAAGCAAGCTCTCTAGCATCCTCTTGGATACTCCAACCAGCTGGAGTCATTGCATCAGGCAAGCAAACTGAAGGGGTCTACACATGCGTCAGACCACTATTATGGCATGAAGGGGAATAATATGCAATAATGCTGAAAAAGTAGGTTGGGGGTAGGTTGTAAAGGATTTAAATGTCCTACGAAAGAGTTTATATGTGATCCTAGAGGTAATCTTGAGTCACTGTAATTGCTGGGATGAAGAGTGACATGATAAGACTTTTTACTTTGGGAAAATCACTTTGGCAGCTGGGTTGAGTCTGGATTGGAATGGGAAGAAATTTGAGACTGGGAGACCAATTAGAAGGTTATTTCAACAGTCCAGGAAAGAGATCACAAGAGCCTGAAATGAAGCAGTGGCCTGATGAGTGTGGAGAAGAAATCCAATTCAAGAGATGTTGCAGAGGTAAAGAGGGCAAAATCTGGTAACTGATTAGATAAATGAGAAAAATGAGAGTAGGAGCTCAAGAATAATGCCAAGGTTCTGCAACTCACTACCTATGAACCTTGTACAGAGCCACTTTTTCCTCATCTATAAAATGAAGGGATTGGACCAAATGACTTTTATAGACCTACTCACACTGATCTCCAACACTCTCCAAGTTCCAAATACCCTTGAATATCTGGGGGCAGTATCTTCCTATACAGAGATTAGTAGAGGCTCAGAATTGCGCCATTCAAATATGGCATCCATCAGATATCTGTCATCGTTGTTCCTAAATGCTAAGATGACTTCGTGTGGAAGTTTTAGGAACATTGCACATCCTATTTCACCAGTTGGATGCACCAGCTGGGAACGTGCCTATCTCCGTGTACCACCCTAATCCTTATTCCACCTATGCTTCCTAGGGGGCAACCGTAAAGCATCTAGAACCAACAACCAAAATTCTGAGGATATTGCCAAAGAATTAGCTTTGCAGACAGATTAGAATCACAGAAAGAGCATCACTGCCACTGGAGTCAGAGG